ATGAAGTCACTGTCCCTGGAGGGATTTGGCAGATGTGTGGATCTTGGGGCCATGGTTTAGTGGTGGCCTTGCAGTGCTGGGGGAGTGGTTTGACTCAATGATCCTAAGGGTGTTTTCCAACCTAAACATTTCTATGATTCCATGATTCTCTAAAGGTTTAAAATGTGACACAGAGCTTCATCTTCTAGAGGTCACTTACAATCAACTGCTGTTACATTAAATGGTCTTCAGTAAAAAATGCTTACATTTGAAGCTAAATACCTATTACAAAGAAAATTGATTCTCTTTTAATCTGCAGATGGTAAATTTTCTGGTTTAGACATCTTGTGATGATTCAGTCGTGCTGGTGAGCCCTTGTGCAGTGATCCTGAATCATTCATTACCTGCCACACTGCTCTAATGGGCTCCATAATGTAATTATCTCCCCAGGATGTGCTAAGTGCATAAAGCACATCTCTATGATGACTTGTGGAAATAAAGTCAGTATTTTCCCTCTCTGTGTGTGTTAGGACAAGAAGCTCAGGTGTCACCATTAGTAGCATGTGAGATATTACATAGAAAGTTTAAAGTGAAAACCTGTATTTACCTTTTCTATTTAGTTGCCTTCATAAAAGTATCAGGACGGTCTGTTTGGAATGTATTTACAGGACTATATCTTAATTCAGAATATTATTTGGTAATTTTACAGTAGTGTGGCTTTTACCTAGAAAAGGTGAGAAAATAGAACATTTTAATGCGTATTTAATAACACAACAACCTTCCTGCCTCTGAAAAAAAAAAAAAAATCACCCAGGTGAACTATGATCTAATTTTCTTGTATAATGAAAACAAAATCATAGCTCCTGCAGCATTATTCTTGGCTCTCAGCAGTTCCAAGGCATGCAAACATCACCATTCCCACTCTGTCCTGCAGTTTAACTGGAAGGATTATGTCACAACACGGTATGTTTGTTTTCCAGCTTTTTGTCTGTTTGTCCATCAAGACGGTTTTGTAGAAGAAGTATCGGTGATTGTTGACTTTGGAGGTAGTGGAAGAAAAAATAATTCTGGAAGAAAGAAAAAAAGCAGACAGTCCCATTGAAGTAACTGTGCTTCTGTCACAGGAGAATGAATACTCCTTTCAACAAATCTATAATTTGCAGAAGTTGCAAAAAGAAAATAGCCGTAAGGTGACTGTTAACATACTTCAGTTCATCCTGCCAAGAAAGTTAACTTCATAAAGTCATTAAACTCGTGATTACATTTTAAAATATTATTCCCCAGCCATTTCTTCTTAGGCTTTAAAATATAGTTACTGTATATACTACCTTCTTTGTAATGGGAAAAATTGTAAAATGCACTTATTTTTCATAAACTTCTAATTATTAACAGAGCTATTTGCGCTCCTATCGTTAAAATCATTTCAACACTTCCGTTATTTAAACTTCACTTTTAGGGGTTCATAATTCTGCTGTAGTAAAAATATATTCGGATTCTAAGGTCTCAGACATTGTTTGCTGGTATTAGTGAATTTAGCCTGTTTTTCTTAAAAAAGCTGAGTAATTTGAATTGTTTGCTGTTCTTCAATATCATCCCAAACAAAATATTTTGTAATGTGGACTTAATATTTTCAAAACTAAAAAAAACAGGAGAATACAAGTGAGTATGTTGGAACTGCTGCAGCCCCAAATTGTGTGACTGGCAGTGAGGCTTGGAGAAGGGAGATGGTGGGAAATTCTTGCCATAACTGCTCCTAACCTCATGTATGAACAGTCCCTGCAGCATTTCTATCGCACCCATCATCTGGAGTCACGGGCAGTGCTGCTCCCTGAGTGAAACCCCCCGTGCTCCCGCTGCAGCCAGGGGTGAGGCACCTCCTGATCTCAGGGAGCTGAGCAGGGCTTTTCTGAAATGACAAATGCTGGGGTGCTCGGAGATGGATCGGTTCTTTGGCACAGCTTCCTGAAATCCCCCTTCATCACGCAATGACTCAACCAGGCCTTCAGCTCCGGAAATTCAGGAATCAGGGCTTATTGCATATTAATGGCAACTCTGGGACAGTCAAATAAGACAGTTTGTTATAATACTAATTATAGCAAAGCACTCAGGTTGTGGTTTGAATGAGTCAATTATGTGTGTGTTAAACTATAAATACATCTTCCCCCCAGCCTCGGCTGTGTGGGACGTAATTTTTATTTAATTGCTTGGATACATATTTACCTGAGCATACCCCGGTTTCCCAGGTAAATACGTGTACCAATGCAAAACTCATTACGGTCTGTTTGGATAAATAATCCATATTTTATAACTGTACAGGAAGTAATTATTTTTGTACTTTGCTTTCTTTAAGCCAAAGAAATTAAATGCTGTGTGTCCATTCCTTAAAATAAAATAGATGCAGAAGTCGAGGCAGTACGAGAATAAAGTTTTCATTGTTTTGGTAGAAACTGAGAATATTATTCCAGATTTTGATCTCGTGTTTAGCCCAGAATAACTCCATTAAAGTAAACAGTGTTATTCAGGATTTACTTAGATGCAAATGGGACATGAATTTGGCCTTTGCTCCTTACTCTCCTTTCCTTCATTGCATGGCTCCTGCAAGCAGCTCACACACAACCTTTGCTATAAATGTCATTGTCACGTGTTTGTCAATTGGAAAAATAAGGTATTTCAGCTACATGTGGAAATTAGCATACCTGAACTTTATATCTGAGAGAATCATGGAATGGTTTGGATTGGAAGGGGCCAAGAGATCATCCTTGTGCATGTTTGGGAACTAGGGTATGCTTTCCCTTTGGATATTTCTGCCATTGTTTTACATGATATTTGGGAAAGCTGTGTTGTGTTATCACCATGCTAAGGTCAGGTTTTCTAACACTTTTAAGTTCAGTGGGACCAAAGTCAGCCTTGGCATAAATCCATTAGCTGCAATAGATTTACACCAGAGAGGAATATTGGCTCATTCTTGGTAATTTTTTTTTTTATCCAACTCTTTATATTTTATGTTAGAAACATAAGTAGCTTGCGTGCCCTCAAACTAATCAGAATAAGAAACAGTTTTGCTTATGCCAAAAAATAGAGCTATCGTTTTTCACATTCTTACATTTTTCAAGTGAGATTATGTTACTGTGACTTCTGAATTCCTGAAATCTCTCTGGTCTCGGTGACTGCAAGGGCCAAGAGAGGGTTCCAAGGGGAAAATCTGAACCTATTCACGCAGTATGTTTTGTGTTGTGCGTACCAGATACAGTTAACGTTTTGTGTGCTTGTGATTAGTGTGGAAAAAAATTAATGCGGTCCAGTATTATGATTTATGGACTGAATCTTTTGCACACTGAACACTCCCCCCCCCCCCCCCCTCCACTTTCCCCTTCTTTGGATATTAGAAACAGCTACTGTTTTTGTTGATCTTTTTAACTTCTGAATAGGCCTATTTCAAGTCATAGCAGCATGGGAGCTCAGATTAATAATATACTTATTCAGCCAGTGATACTGAGTGAAACCATTGCTAGTGTGAGTATGAAGGATAGGATTTCTTTAAATTATTTTCAGGTGCATTAATGCATTTCTAAAGAATAATATAGAGTTATTTGAACATAAATTAAATTGCTGTTTATTGATCATGTTACAGGTGTGCTTGAATTTTAATATCAATAATTTTTGAAGGTGTCTCTTCTTTTGATGACTTTTGTGATGTTCTCACTGTCAGTTTTCCATCAGTGGATAAGGCTCAAGGCTGAGGGCAAAAAACCAATCAAATACTGATTTTTGGATTATGTTTTTTAAGGTAAAGTGTGAAACATCCCTTCTATCTCAGTCGATACAGCACTGTGTTTTATGCTGAAACTGCTTGTTCACAGAGGAGGTGGATTCTCCATCCCTGGAAGAATTCAAGACTGGAGGGGACTCTGAGAAACTTGGTCTAGTTGAAGGTCCCTGCTCGTTACAGGGGTTGGACTAGATGATCTTTAAAAAATTCATTCCAACCCACTCAGTGATTCCGTGATGATCTTATGCCAGAACAAAAAGCTTGTGAGGTGAAAGAAGCAAATCCCATTGAACCCTTTTGCACATTTGGGTTGAATCTCCTTAGCCCAGCACTTTGATAAGCACCAGCTGTGCAGAAAACCCAGGTTACCAGGTTTCTAACCCTGTTCTAGTTTTGTATAAAAACCCCAATTTCCTGCAACTACTGAAAACTGATGTACTTAGTCCTTTACAAAGAGATTGTTTTGCTCTTTACAGCACAGTTTGAGGCATTCAAGGCTTTTGTAGGTATTGTCACAATGGATGTGAGAGCAGTCCACTACTTCACTCCTTTGATCACCTCTTATCAATTCTTGTGTCATTCCTTGCTCAGCCAAATCTTTATCACTTTCACAGCTGAATGGCCTGGTCTGCTCAATAGGTTTTTCAATTCCATCATTAATAGAGTTGGTGTTTCCTATCAATTCATTTTATTTCTCCCAAATGAAATAAGAACATGCCTAAAAAAGTTCTTCATGTGAGTCTGGTTTGTACTAATGCTAAGTCAAGTAGGGGTAGAGTTTCTTTCAAAAAATACTTAGGTAAGCTGTTTAAAATTAATATTTGTTATTCTAAAAAATTGGGAGAGGGATCAGCCGGCCTTCCACAGTTGCAGATAAAGTGCTATGGCAAGAATTTGGCATTTTTACATTGCCTGAGAGAATTATATGTTCATTTTCTGTGCTAAGAGAAGAAAAAAAAAAAAAAGGCAGCAGGACTTTTTAAAAGCAATCATTTTAAATATAAACAAAAAAGCTTTTTCTTGAGATTTGTCAAAGGTCTTTCAGGCTTTTCATAAAATTGTTATTCACTTCTTGGCAAACAAGACTCGAGTGAGTGACACCTTTGAGAGTCTCAGCTTGTGTTTTAGTGCACAGCTTGTATTTTGCTATGGACAACCATACAAAATATTCTCTGAATTTATTTAAAACAAACCCCAGTGAATAAAGTTTTTAACACTGAAAAGGCCATCCTAATTTATTAATTTATTTTAGTTGCAGCAAGCAGCTGAAGTTTCTCAGATGAGAGGAGCTCGAGTCATCTCTGCTGAAGATCTCCTGTTCTTAATGCGCAAAGATAAGGTACAGTGATTAGACAGAAATTTCTTATTTTATGTAGTCAGCTGCTTATTGTGTTTTCAAGTGCTTTCTTAACCTATGTAAAGGAATCCATCATCATGAATTGCTTTATTTAAAAGTACAGCTGCTCTGCAATTGTATTTGATCGAGCATGTTGTAATCATTCTGTAATATCTAAAATAATAATTGTCTTTTTCTGAATTGTAGCTTCAATTATCAATTCATTTTTTTTCACAAAGCTATAGGGTAGATAATGTACCTTAGAGCTCAAAACAAATTCTTAATAAGATATAAATATTGATCCCTATACTTTATGTCCCTTTAATTAAAAATCAATCATTCTAATTTCCCCCTGGTTATGAAGGGTGTCAGTGTCACATTTGACAATGTGATCATTTTTGTCATTTAGATTGTCTATAAATCCTCTTCATTTTATTTTATAATATTTTTCCTGTTTTTTATCCCACTAAAATCTCCAAATTTAGGTATGGCCTTGCTTTCTCTGGATAGTAAGTAGAGCAGGTCAACAAGGGGGAAAAAATAATTTTCCCTCCTCAAATTTAATAACTATTAAAAAAATTTACAACTTTTTAAAATTATATTATTTATTCTTCCTTTATGTCCTTTTCTTCCTTAGTTTCCCTCTTTCTCTCACTCTTTTCTCTCCTTTGTTTTCCTTTCCTCATTTGACAGGTGAAACCTAACGGCCAAAATCATTTCAAAATTCAATAAAACATGAAAATAAATTGCAGTTTCTTTATCTGATAAAAGCTGTAAGGCTGTACTGAAAACAGCAACTGATATGGAGTCAAAGTTCATTGAAATGTGCATTTCTAGCCTAGACTTTCCAAAGTAAGCAAACATTCTGGAGTGCCATAAAGAAGCCCGATATATGAATTTCTCCTTTCTGAAAGTCAAAGCAAAGTACCAAGGAGCTCAAATAAATAATATTTAATATGGATTTTCTACTGTCCTGAGGTATTTTCTATGTATTTTCTGCAGAATTTAAAATGACAAATATTTTAAAGTTATATTTACTAAGTAATGTGCTACACATTTGCATGTTTGTGTGTTACAAACGTACAAATTAAATAAGAAATAACTGTGTAATAGTCATTATATAAATGTGTTTTTTTCTCACAGAAGAAGCTTCGAAGGCTACTTAAATACATGTTTTTTCGAGACTACAAATCTAAAATTGTCAAAGGAATAGAAGAAGATGACCTCCTTGAAGGTAGAAAAGAGAAATTACTTAGTTTGGGAGAGGCTTGATGTTTTGTAAAAGTGCTGAACAGCTCAATGCAAAGTATTAATGTCTTGCTTGACAGTTAGAGACACAAAAATAGTCTCTTTAGAGGAATTTTGCTAAAAATCCCTGCTTTTCAATTTGAAATGTGTTTGCATTACCATCCACATGAGCAGTAAGACTTCATGTGAGAGCTTTGTTGAAGTAAGAAACTGGTGCTGATTAAAGAGCTAATTGATTTCAGCATCTGTATTTTAAATGCACCACCTGCAATTGAATGGGCACTTGCTAAGTTATTATCAAAATGTTTTGACATACTTTTTTAAAAAAAACTCTTAAAATCAGAAGTCACTGAACACTAATATATGACGTGTATTTTTTAAGTGTGGTTTAACATTTTATAATTTAAATCTTTAGTTTAAATAATGGGAAACACTTTTGTTTCTGTATTCCATGAGGAAGTCAAAGATTTCATAACCAATGCATGTAAAGTAAAAACTTTTTGAATTACAAATGTATTAATTTATGCCATATAGTTTCCTGGTTTAAAGTTTTGTTGATTTATATTGACATTAGAACTAACATAGCCATTGTAAAAAGTTAAGTTAAAACTTATCATGGCAAATCTAAACCTTACCATACTGTTGAAAAATCTAGCAATGTCCTTACACAACTTTCTGTATTAAACTTACTTCCTTTCTCAGACTCTTTTATTATTTTTCCCATACAATGAATTCCTTGTGTTTGGTTCCTCTGAACTTCCACATTGATGCTAGGTGAGCATTGTACTTCTTGCTCTGACTTCATCAAGCTGTGGATACGTTTTTGTCAGCTCATTTGAGACTAAATTTGCCTGTTGCATTTTATTTTTATGTTTCATGTATGCAAGCAATCTGGTAGTACAGCTTCTTACCTGGCAGCTTTGGGGTTTTAATACTTTAGCTTGTGTCACAACTTAAAGCAAATAATAAAATACTTTTATTTTATAAAATAATAAAAAATTCCCTTAAGCCTTTTAGCTGTTCATGAAATGCTTCCTAAGGGCAATTTATACTGGAATTAAATAATGCCTTTTCTAGTGGGTTTTGATAATTAAAGCCATTAATTTTCTTTTGTGAATTCAGTGGTTTTATAGCTGCTCTGCTGTTTAGAGCAACAGAGATCATCTTGCCAGCATTCTCCAGATTTAACTGCAGAGCAGTGGTCCATCACCTATGGAACTTAATGGTCGTGTTAGTGTTTGCTTGAGGCTGTAGGAAATGAAGATGTTCAGGGAAGAATTTTTCCTCAATATATTCTGCTCTGTGACTCAAGTTCTTTCTACCAAAGAGGGGTTGCTTCCTCTACGGCTGTGAATTTTTTTGTGAGAAGAAATGATAAATGGACAGCAGATTAGTTTTCTCTAGTTTATGAAAAGCTACTCGGTTATATTAAGAAATACTAAAGATGATGTTCTGCTGCTACTGGAGCAGAGTAGTGACATCACCTTGTTCAGGTAGCATAGCTTATGTGAGTGGCACAATATGAACAGGCCTTTTCTGCTCAGTGCTGGTTCTAAAATGTGTCACTCTAAGGGACATCAGGTGATATTTGGAGAAGCCAAATAGGTTGTTTGTTCTGTTTTTCTTGTCGTTGTGAAGACAAATTCAACAGCAATAACACCAACAAGAGGCAGAAGCTGGCCCAAGACTTTCTCAACTCCATTGACCAGACTGGAGAGCTCTTGGCCATGTTTGAAGATGATGAGATCGATGATGTCAAGCAGGAACGAATGGAGGTAATTCTTTCCTTTTATTGATACCCAGCAGAAAAATTATGAAGCATTTAATGCACGTTGCTGGTCTGATGCCTTTTTCATGCTGCACGTTAAATCATTGTTACATGTTTTTTCTTTTGCCCAGATGGTCTAAAGAAATCCTATTTCTTTATTTTTCCTATTCCTTCAAATGTTTCTAAGCACACATATTGAGAAGGAAGATTACAGAAGGGTAGTTATGGATCTTTCTGTCTGCTGTGTATTTCTACTTTCTTCCAGTAGAAAGCAAATTTTATTTATAAATATCCCATGCAGATTTTTTGCAACAATTATTTATCTTCTTAGCAATTTGTTTCAATAGCATTTGAGGACTCTTCATATAACACAGCTTACAGATGAAATTAAAATATTCTGTGCTAGCATGCTTGAGTATAAACTCTTCTTTCCATCCTTTCCAGGCCTATTTTCTGTTCTATGTAGTTTAGAAAAATTTTGTCTACATTAAAAAATGCAGTGCTACATGACTCCCATAAAGCTAGGCAGGACTGAGAAGTAGTGTAGCTGTGTTAGCATGGGAGTCTGTGTTTTTGACTAATTTTCTGTGGGTGGGCAGGACTACCCTGTTATTTTGGTAATCTGGTCCACAGTGAATGCAAAGAGTCCTTCACCCTTCGTCGTGCTCAATTGCTCAATTCTTCCTTACGTTTTCTGTAGACAACTGGATGTCAAGCACAAAAATGTGCTAGGAGCACACTCACAATTCCAGAGAAGTATTTGAGCCAATTTACATCCATTTTCAGACATCAACAGAGTGGACAGGACTGTAGGAAATTCGATATTTGTAGAGTGATTTCTATACCCTTTCAGTGCTGGAAGCTGGGGGCTTTGGTTTGAATTCCCTTTCAATGCTGAGGTGGCTCATGTGTTTGGTAATATTTTTGTGGTTTATATTTGGCTATTAGGGCTTCATTTCACTTTCAGGGTTTCATGGAAAATTCTAAGAAATAATGAAATTTTTATCCTGTGCAAGCTGTAATTCTGCTTGCTTTCTTCTTAATGGAGCCTCTTTTCAGAACTGCAGCATTCCCAATCTTTCTGCTCCTTTCTGCTTTGCAATGGGAAGAAATCAAAACCTAATGAAGACCCACTTCTCTCTAAGAATTTGGTTAGGAGCAAGTCCCATTTCCCCCCAGCTGAGAATTTGTGTCATTGAACAGTTGTACCCAACCACTGTTTGTATTTTGGAAACTGGTGGTTTCTTTTCTTTAACCTCTTATTTATTTATGCAAAATGTTATGTTTTGCATAAAGGCAGGCAAATTCTTTGAGTTTGTAAACACAGAAATAGATAACAGCATACTTTTGAATGCATGGGTTGAATTTTGAATGTGCTTGAATTTGCACTCTCTTCTCTTCTTCCAATATAGTGTTTTTCTGATCTAAAGAGCTACACAAGTTGATAAAAGTATGAAGTTCTCTGTTGTAGACAATGGCAAATCTGAATCTGTGTTTGTCTGTCAAGGAATGTGTGTCTGTGATCAAATATTTGCCTTTCATCTGACTATATGTTTTGGATTTTATTACTAGACTGTAAATCATGAACTGTAGTATTTGTGTATATTATATATAAAAAGTATTTGTTCTCTCTATTGCTTGACTTCATTACATCTTGTGAACTCTTGATCTGTTTCCATGTTAAAAGAAAAGAAAAAGAAAATCAAGATCTTATTTTAGAATACAGTCATGAATTATATACAGGTATGAAGCCAGCACTATCTATTTGCTTTCTTATTAGTCTCTAAAACTAATGACAAAACAGGAAAGTCTGTTTGAAACGTGCTACTCAAAATGTTTAACGTATTTTGGGCTTTGTTTTGTTTGGGATTTTGTTGTCACTTTGAGGTGGGTGGAAAGGAATCAAAGATAGTAGGAAATGTGATCCATTCCTAAAGGAAGAGTTGTTAGTAGATGGGCTAATCTTCTGTATCACATTTTCTTTCTTCAGTAGATTGTTTAATCCGCACTAAATTCTGGAGGAAATCCAATAGTCAATTTAACAGGGTTTTTTAAGGAATTAGTGTATTTAAATCATGAACTGCAGTCTAAGGGTGGTGTTCCTTTTAGGTATGAATTACCTCAGAAATGTGTGGTTACCTTGGTTTGGACTACCATAAATGATTTCAGTTCCACTTTGCCTTGGGCCAAAATCATGCTAAGCTGTCCAGAGCAGATGATAAACATATATTTCTGATGTTATTATGGGCTAAACAGGATATGATTGTTTAGCAGTATGTTTTCAGTTATAATGCAAATATTGTTTATACTCATTCCTTTTAAAGCATTTCATAAAATTAGAGCTAAGCCTTCATGTTATTGCCTGCAGTGCTGTGATGTCCATTCCATATCTGCAGCACGGAGGAGTCAGGAAAGCTCTGAGACACTTTGGGACATTACCAAAGGAGACCAAACAATTCTACACTTCTTTGACTGAAATACAGCCACCAGCACTGTCATATTTAAAGCAAAGGACACTCATCTAGGATTGTCCATAGAATTTTCTGATATATCTCATGGTTTTAATTTGAAGCAAAGGGACTATCTCAGGATCAGTAATACCAGCAATTTGCAAAGGGACATTAATCCAAGATGGAATACTCTTAAAATATAGGGCAGAAATTAAGAACAAATTTCACACTACTTAGTCATAACACGTGGTTATTATATCAATACATTGTAATGAGATGACTTTTTATAAAACTGCAATAATAACATGAAGTAGAGGCAAACCAGACAACTGTATTGGCAAAGTCAAAACAAAATAAAAACTGGAATAACACCTCTGCCTCACTTTATAACAGTTACTATCCTGCTCTCCTGAGACAGCAGTAAAGCACCAGTGAAACTCTGCTCCTCAAAGACCATTTACAGATGGAAAAAGTGATTCTCATTCCTGGATGTAACTGGACTGTGCATGGGAAGGAGAGATGGATCATAGAACTGGTCTTCATAATGTGTGTCTGTCTCTTGAGAATGACATCTGTAATGGCAATCTACCCACACTTCTTTTTTATTGCACAGGTTGGGCTGTGGAATAGCCAGAGCTGGTGGTCCTCGGGTGTTTGACTTCCTTTGCCTGCTGTATTACAGAATCCACCATAACTGACACTTTAAAAGAAGATTACAATTTGGCTTTCCTCTGTCTCTTAAAAATCATTTAGAGAGGAGAGGTGGTATTCCTGTGGGATGTGGCTGAATTGGTGGGGCAAAGAGGCCCCTGTTCATTTAAAATCTTGGAGTTTTTCCTTATTTTGCAGTTTGAATAGACTTCGAGCTTTGGGTGCTTGTCTCCTTATGTTGTTCCTCTGAACCTCTCAGGTTCCTGACCATAGTTAAACCAGCTGCAGGTTTGCCTCTGATTTTGTTAATGGTAGCTTTAGTTCTGCTTTTCTTCTGTGAGAACCACTATCATATTCTCCATGTTATGTCATTAAATAAAGTGTAGCTATTTAAAGACTTCAGTCAGTGTTACTGCAAAGCTGACATCTCTCTCATTCTGTAAATACCCATTTTTTGTTTTAAAGCTTTAATGCTCCCTCCCCCCCCAAGATAAGATCTTCCCATCAGAAGTCTGGACTGACACACAAAAGAATTCAGAGCATCACGCTGTGAGTGCTCTGTTTCACTTCTATTCCCATAGATTAGGAGAAACACCATTCGTGTGTCACCCTGACTGCCAGTTTGGGGATATATTTCCAACAGTCACATGTTATATGGCAATAATTCAGTTGCAGTAGCTACCATAATGCTTTCATAGCAAGTTTGAATAAACAGTGGAGGGAAAATAACTTCCCTACAAGAAAAGACTACCTTAAAGCGGTCTTGAAGCCAGTAAAATGGTAAAAAAACTAAATTAAATGCCTACTTACTGATTCTTTTGCAGGAGGGATGGAACTAGGTTATCTTTAAGGTTCCTTCCAACACTGTGCTTCCAAACTATGCTGTGATTTTATGATTCTGTGATTTAGGGTATATTGTCCTATGAATTGCATTAGATATTTAAAAACTACAGATTCCTATTTTTATTCTAGGAGGTTCATTGTGGGTGCAATTTTTTTTAGTGCTGCTCACCAGTATTCTTGCCTTGGTGGGAAATCTCTAAAGCTCACAGTAATGCAATGGGCCCTGTGCAAAAGATGGTAGATCGCATTAAAGTGTGTATAAAATATATAGTTTTTTACATTTTTTTTAATTACTCCTGTTTAATTTTGTCTTTGTTGAGAGGCAGTTAATTTGTATTTGCAGAAGACTCCTGAACACACCAAACCACTCTTAGAAATATGGTGGACTTGGAATATATTATTAAACTAGTCAGTGATCAAGAAGATTCCTTCCTGTTGGAGTACCATCAGCAGCTTTTGAGTGATTATGCTTTGACCTGAGCCAGGTCACATTGTCCCAAACAATGTCCAACTCTGAGGCCTTCAACACAGGAAAACAAGAACCTGTTGGAGCAGGTCCAGAGGAGACCATGAGGATCCTCAGAGGGCTGGAGCACCTTTCCTATGGAGCCAGGCTGGGAGCCTGGAGAAGGCTCTGGGGAGACCTTGGAGCCCCTTCCAGAGCCTAAAGGGGCTTCAGGAAAGCTGGAGAGGGACTTTGGGAGTGTCAGGACAAGGGGGAATGGCTTGAAACTAAAGGAGGTTTGATTTAGATTAGACATAAGAAGCTTTTTACAATGAGGGTGGTGAGGCACTGGCACAGGTTGCCCAGAAACATTCAGTGTGAGGTTGGACGGGGTTCTCAGCATCTGATCTGGTGGAAAACACTCCTGTTCACTGCAGGGCAGAGGGACTAGGTGGCCTTTAAAGGTCCCTTCTAATCAGAAGTAAACAACTGAGCTCTTCTTTTCATGGTGGATCTCAAAAATGGTGTTGAAGTTCTCAAAATCATTGTACAAATTTGGAAAAAATCTACAGAGAAAATAAGCAGGAAGTGATTTAGGAAAAACTCTGAGACCTTTTA